AAATTCTTAACCTTAAACTACTATAAATTGGGCATTTAAATAATATATGATGAAGTGTTTCCTTTTCTTTAGTGTTGCACGTTTTGCACTTAAGTTCTGGAGTAATTTTCACAATTTTATTATTAACAGAAATCTTGATCATATATTTTCCCGAAAGACGGATCTGCATTAATAGTTTCGTATATTTGAAATTAGTCGGTATCAACAAATACTGGGAAAAATTATGATTCACATTTGAAAAATAAGTCAATATACTTAAGTGGCGATTAATAATAGAAATAACTTTCTATTACTAAGATAACATTGTTGTTTTGGCGTATTAATATGTCATAGTTTTATATATTAATAAGTACCTTCAAAACATAACATTTTAATAAACAGTTTAATACTTAAAATAAAATTCAACTATTCTGTTGAACTAATACGTTAATTAAAATTCCACAAGTTAAGATTAAAGCAATGTTTTTTTGTTTTTTTTCCTTCATACATTAGCACTGTGAAAAGGTTCTTTATTTACTTCATGTCACATACATTTCATAAACAATTATAATCCTTAAAATCAAATAAAAGTAGCGAATTATAATATGCAACGATTAATTATATAAAACAATAAAATAATAATATTATTTTAGGAGAACAAATATATACATTCCAATTATATGGATAAAAATTTACAAAAAATTAATGGTTAATATAAAGACAGTAATTATTATGATACATCGTGTAAATTATTTCATTATATAAACTAATGAAAACAATACAAAAATAAATGAAGAATAGGTTTCTTAATTTTAAACACTTTATACCATTGGACTTCCTGCATACCAGTATAAATAATTGAATTTGTATTTGTTTTCTATATCTAATAATTGTACAATTTGATCTTTATCGTCACGATTGCCATCATTCATTTATATACTTACGTCTAAAAGCTACATATGTAGGACATATCGCGTCCACCTTTATTTTCTTAATACTGTGGATAAAAAGTTATTGCGGACAAAAACTTCGTCTGTATTTTGGTCCGAAAGTCAAATCAGATAACACAACCAGAAACTACAGAGAAGAATTTCGGCCTCGAATAAATGTTATTTTGGAAAGGAAAAAGCAGCAAAATATCGTTTCCTACGAGAAAAAAAAACAAGGCCACTTTTTAAAAAACGAATTCCAGGTGTTTTTCTAACACTGAGATTCTGTCGAGGCCAGATGCTAAGACCTTTTTAACCTTTCCACATTTTAACGATACGGAGTAAATAATTAGAAGTGAAAATTATATTATTAAACAAAAATTGTCTTCTATTTTATCAATTATCAGCTCGTATTGGGATTTTGCTGTTTCCTGAGAACTGAAGAAGAATCACTGTATACGATATGAGGCCCGCGAATATCTGAAAAATCAGTGACTAAATTAAGACAGTTTTATTTGAAAAAATAGAGCAAGAATCATCCTTTATTACTACAAAGATAATCCTTGACAAAATATTATAACATACATATAAAATATTTAGTTGTAAAATTGGTTATTATTTTTCGATTGAACACCTTATTAACCGGTTAATAATTGTTGTAACTCATTTTCTAAAAAGCTGTCCATCGTATTACCTTGATGAATAAAGTTGGTCTCAGCTGGAAAAATCCGCAGGCGGTAGGAACAACTACTATTTTCATCTTGATATATAGCCGCAAGTTTTCTTGCTGTTGAGATGAAACAAAATTATAAATTTTATTGTTATTTTCAATGATAAGGAATAATTTGAGAATTGATACTTACTTCATTGCAGTATTTTCGAGAAAACAATACTTTTTTTAGAGAATGGTTGAAATTATCAGCCTAAAAAAAATAATGAAAAAATTCTTAAACTCCTAATAAAATTCTTAATTTCACGGTTTAATAATATGTGTTCCAACATTCAAATCGAGTTTTTTATTTCGTGTGAAAATCTGTTATATTCTATAGTAAGACTATTAGGGGTGTTTAACATCGTTATATATCATATCATTTAAATATCATTACAAGGAACTTATAATTTCAGATTTCTTTTTTTTTCGTTAAGATAGATTTTCTTACCATAAAAAATCTGCACTGTTACTATCATGTCCAATATTAGTGCTTAATTTTAATTGAAAAAAAAGCTGTTAGTTGATATGAATATAAAAAGTGTTTTATCTATTAATTAATGTTAAATGTCCAAAAGAAAGTTCCAAAGTAAGTTGCTCTTATTGTTTATGTGGTAATAGTTCCACAAATCCTATATTAATGTACGTCCATATGTTAAAATTTCAGTTTATTATTTCTCTTAATCAGTTGATAAAAGGTATAATAATTAATGTACTTCTGTATCCATCGTTTCATAGTTTCATCGGTATAAATGACAAAAGTATACATAACTATTAAAAATAATTTTTAACAGTATAACAACTTCCATTGGACTTGGAGAGCCAAACTAAATGTGTCAAAAGTTTTCTAAAAACATTAATATCTCAGCAACTATGACAGAGACCCGCCAAATACAAACAGATCCGTATGTATGTATATATATATATATATATATATATATATATATATATATATATATATATA